CTTACCTCAGGGGTGGATCAATTAATATGGAAGCCAGGAGCCAGCTCTGTTGGAAACAACTAGAGAACCTCAAAAGTTAGGCAAGCATTGGCGACCTGGCTCCAGGGATTTGTCCAGCCCTGACTTACCTGATCCCGCTCCTTCTGGCTCACGCTCTCCGAAGCCTCTTCTCCCTGTACTTCTTGTCATCTACGTACCACTGATAGTTCCATAGACCTGTATTAGACGTGAGGAGGCCAAGGGACATTCCACCAGTTGGAGTGAAGGGTGGGAAGAGGAGAGCGTTGACTGTCGGGGGAGCGGGGATGAGGTAAGTAATAGGGGTAGCTCCAATGCAGAGAGGAGTTCTTTAGTTTGCCCGGAGAGGAGATTTAGGCTCAGTTATATATGTTTCATAGTTGGGAGGTTTAGAGTAAAGCTGGCCATAAAATGCTCAAAGTCCTGCTGAATTGGCCAAAATTCAAGCTGTGGATGCCCCTGCTGGTGCCAACTGGCTCCAGCAGGGAGCAAGGTGGAAAACTGTCGGCCAGTCACTGCAGCCAGTCAGCTGGATTCTGACAATGGGGGGCACCAGTTGTCATAATACAGTTGCTGGCAGGTTCCTCCATCCACTCTGTGTAGCTTGGATGGAGGAACCTGTTAGATTTCTTTCATTCAGCCCACAAGCTGAAGAAAGAAATCAGTAAGTGTATGGCCAATGTATGATTGTAAATTGTTACAGAGGTCCCTTGATGTGGCTTTACATGGAGATGTGCATTGTGTCTTTGTGTTCTTCAATTTTCCAGGTTTATTTGCAACTTTATTTAATATGTTTATTTTTTTTACTGCGATGTAAACTTTCCAACCTTCACAAAAATGTATTCCATGTGTAGACTCAAACCTGCAGGGAGTGTTTACAAGGACACACGGATCTGAGGAAGGATGTCATGATGGAGAACCGGTCGCCCCTAATATCACCGGGTAAGGGGAGACTTTCATTTCTTGAGTACTGAGGATCCCCCTAGATACACACATCCTCTGATATAAAGACATAGAAACAATGAGGGGAGAGGGGGGGCGGAATGAACAAAGAGTAAGCTCTACTAAACTGAGAAAATGGAGCAGATCGCTCATAATTAACATAGGGGCTTGTGTCTTCTTTGTTATTTAGGAGGGATCTGCTCCATTTTCTGTGCTGTATCTATGCTAGACATGGCAAAGAGAGCAGAAGAGCTGGAGCTACTTCCTCCTCCTCCCTTAAAGCGAGAAGAAAGAGGAATGCTGTTACCTTGTGTTTGCCAGGATTATAAGCCGGGATATAGGCAGGAAACAGGTCTATCTGATTCACGCCACTCGTGCCAGTTTTAGCGCAGATAGCTTTGCTAATTCCCTCCAATCTATTCAGTCAGTGTGTGTGTTTCCTACAGCTGGATCCAGTAAGAGAAATACCCCAGAGAGATGTCTTATATATATATAAAATTTGTTTTCTATTTTTAAAAGTGAATATATAATTAAAGTTGAAGTTAAAGAGGAAGCAGAAGAGCCATATGTGATGGATGATGAGCTATGTAAAGAGGAAGAAATCCTTCCAGAGATGAGCACAGGTGAGGAATACACACTGAATCCAGAGAAGATTCCCAGATTCTCCTTGTCCAGTCACTACAACAATCTCTTCTTCTCCCCCCTCCTCTGTCAGTAGACAGTAATGGGGGGGCGGAATGTGTTTAGCGAGGGGAGTCAGGAGCCATCAGCCTCTATTAGACTCCGCCTCTCCGCCTCACATCATGTCATTGTGTGTTACCAGCCAAGAGACGTGACCAGTCTCCCCCCACACACACTCTCTCTGGGGTCTCTCATACATCTCAGTAAAGGGGGCTTCACTCTCATTATTTATTCACAGACCCCGGAGACACTCGGAGAGATCCCAAAGCTGAGGCGGAGGAAAAAGGACACGTGAGGATTAAAGAGGAGGAAAGTCCTATAGCGATCAACACAGGTCAGTAATGAACACTTCAATCTGTCCTCCATTTTGTCCCTGTGGAGAGCCACTGAAAAATAATTAACAGAAGAATATTCCTGTATTTACATATTAGTTCTTACTGCTCCTCTAAAATGTATCATTTGTTATACATCATTATAGTTTCTCTATGGCAGCTCTTGTGTGCCATGGTGGACCTTCACCCCTGAGTACAGGTGGATAGGCAGGCTCTGCTTCCTACTCTGAAGTTTATCACATTGTAGCTGTAATTTAATCTTAATCCTTGTGTAGGTTTGGTTCATTTTAACATTCAAAATACAATCTTCAGAGTACGCCAACTACTAATTTAGCTTTATGTTTATTTCCTACAGATGGATCCAGTAACAGAAATAGCCCAGAGCGATGTCCCCGTCCTCTGTATTCCCGGGACTCCACACAGGAACATCAGGAGATCCCTCAGACCCGTCCTCTGTATTCCCGGGATTCCACACAGGAACATCAGGAGATCCCTCAGGCCCGTCCTCTGTATTCCCGGGATACCACACAGGAACATCAGGAGATGCTCCATGATTATGAAGTATGTGGAACTGAGGATCTAGAGAAATAATATAATGGAAGTAATTTCCAAAGACCGCAAAGTGGTTTCTCTGCAATTACCTTTGTTAGCCAGAAAAGCCTCTTCTGTGCACTTCTCTGATTTAGATTCCCTATGTTACTGGAGGCTTGACGTTTAGAGAAAGGAAAGATCTGGAAGATGTACTCTACAGTACATGTGTGGGGAATTTAAAAGTTTTGGCTGGTGAACATTAGGAGGCACACTTATATGTTGATGGATACCAAAAAGCCTCCAGGCCCCAATCCCTGAGTACATGTCAAGCTGACCCCAACCTACTCATTTTGCCAGTTATGAACTATGTGTATCCACTATAACATTCTAGCTGCTAGGTCAGCCTACTTTGTCATCGTTGACTTCACAATCCGTTTCTATCCCTCTCAGGGCCCATTCACACCACATCCAAATCATCTCCAGACCAGACCAGATTGTTTCCGGACCTAAAATGCACCCTAATGTATCCCTATGGTGTTTCTGGCCTCTGTTCACACCAGCACAGTCCGTTCCAGACCAGACCAGACCAGAAAAATACTGCATGTCTCATTTTGTCTGGTCTGGAATGCACTGGAACTGCGGGCTGGTTCACGCCATTTTCTGGACCAGATCTGGCCCGGAAAATGGTGTGAACCTGGCCTTAAAATCAATAAAACTTATGAAAGAAATTTAGGAGGCAACATTTAGGGGTTTAAGAGAAGGATAACTTCACCCATTACCACCCCACTACCCCATCCCCTGTTCCATTCTCAACAAGGTATATCCTATTTCCTCAAGTGACTGTTCTGGATCAGCCTATAACTTTACAGACCTTTTTTTATGAGCTGCAGAGTCATTTGTTTGTATTATTTTATGTTACTTAGGAGGAAAAGGTGATTAAAGTAGAAGTGAAAATAGAAGATGAAGAAGATGATGAGACGTGTAAGGAGGAGGAAATCCCTCCAGAGATCAGCACAGGTGAGGAATAAACACTAAACCCAGAAAAGAGTCCCAGATTCTCCTTGTTCAGTCTCTACAACAATCTCTTCTTCTCCCCCCTCCTCAGTCAGTAGACAGTAATGGGGGGACGGAATGTGTCTAGTGGGGGGAGTCAGGAGCCATCAGCCTCTATTAGACTCCGCCTCTCCTCACATCATGTCATTGTGTGTTACCAGCCAAGAGATGTGACCAGTCTCCCCCCACACACACTCTCTGGGGTCTCTCATACATCTCAGTAAAGGGGGCTTCACTCTCATTCTTATTCACAGACCCCGGAGACACCGAAAACACTCAGAGAGATGTCAAAGCTTTGTCCCGGACGCACAACAGGAAGTAAGAGGAAATCTCTTCAGAGTGAAGAAAATGTTCTCTTACACAGTTGTCACCAGAACAAGTGTCCCCATTGCCCCCTTCATCCATGTTCCTCTATAGAATATGCTTTGTTTAAATGGCAGACAACTGAATCTTAAATTAAGGACTGAGTTTATTTACATAAAGGAATAAACGTAAATTCTAACTACAAACAGGAAATATGGTTGGGGAGGCAGGGATGGGAATTGGGGTATCAATGATTCTGCTAGCACCATCCTTCTCACTCATGCACGGGCCTTTTGCCTCTCCTTGGAAAACTTCCTCCAAGCAGATCCCAGCAAATCTCATCCTTACTTGCAGATCCCAGAGAGACCTGTCCGAGAGCTCATAAAAGGTCACCACTGTTTCAACTTGTGAGTTAGGTTTGTGGATATTACACAGGAAGCCCCCGTCAAGCATACGACAATACTAAATACATTCGGGCAGTAGATACCAGCATTGGGCCTGGACTGTCCCATGGAATAATGACCCCTAGGCCTCCATCTGGCAGTGCCACCATTGCTCCAAGAGCCCTTTTGTTATTTGTTGATCCTCAACTGACTTGTCATAAAGCCATGTAAGCCGTTCTCTCAGGAGGTAGAGATGACCTTTTTATCAAAGTCAATTTTATCAGCTCCAACAGGTGCCAACTCAGATCTTCCTATCACTTTCTGTCCTGGTGACTCGGGTCAACGGTAGAAACAGAGAAGGTGACTAGTCCTGGGCAAAGCGCAGTATTACTTTATGCTTCCAATAAACAGTTCTGTAAATGACCCCCCCATACTACAAATTTCCTTCTGTGGATGAGGATGACAATTCATTATTTTCTGCCAAGAGCAAGGGAGAGAATGTGCCACCACTATGTAAATGAGTAAAATGGCTCCTCCTTTTTATTTCTTCCAGATGGACGATACAGGAGGTATAACGCCGAGAGACAACTTGTCATCTCTCCAGATGGTAAAGTAGATGATGATGATGTCTCATCTGGTTCTTCTGAAGAAGACCTCACCCCAAACCTTCATCCAGGACTGCACAGGGCAGATCTATCATTTGGTCCCTCAACGCAAACCAGAAATTGTCCTTCACATCCAGTGGCCAATCATACAGCTTCTGGTGGGGATGGGACCTTCCCATGTACAGAGTGTGAGAAGAACTTTAGCGTGAGAGCCAAGCTTATCAAACATCAGAGGACCCACTCGTCAGAAAAGCCGTTCTCTTGTTCCCAATGTGGGAAGAGCTTCAGGCAACAATGCCTTCTCCGGAGACATGAAACGAGGCACAACAGCGACAAACCGTTCTCGTGCTCGGAATGTGGCAAGAGCTTTGTCCAAAAATCAGATATTGTTCGACATCAAAGGACTCACACGGGCGAGAAGCCGTTTTCTTGCTCTGAATGCGGCAAGAGCTTCGCCCGGAAACATTACCTCAACACGCACGAAAAAGTTCACTCGGGGGAGAAGCCGTTTTCGTGTTCGGAATGCGGCAAATGCTTCTCCCGGAAATCCTATCTGAACACGCACGAGAAGGTTCACACGGGCGAGAAGCCATTTTCCTGTTCCGAATGCGGGAAATGTTTTGCTGACAGGTACCGCCTGGTCACGCACCATAGAGTTCACACCGGAGATCGGCCATATTCGTGCACCGAGTGCGGGAGAAGCTTCGCCCAGAGTTCTGATCTGATTAGACACAAGAAGGTTCACACCGGTGAACGGCCATATTCGTGTTCTGAGTGCGGGAGGGGGTTCATCAATAAATCAGATCTGATCATCCATGAGAGGATCCACACAGGCGATCAACCGTATTCGTGTTCGGAATGTGGGAAAAGGTTTTCGCACAAATCCACCCTGAAGTCACATCTAGGAACCCACAGGTGACGAGGACCTCACGTCAGAAGGACACTCTACTCTCATGTATGTTCTGTTCCTGCAATGGGGCCTAGTTTACAACACAACGTTATTTAATGAAATATAGCTATTTACCTTGTA